GCACCAGCTTGCTACCGTGAGCCGCGTGTGCGCCGTTTTGCTAACGTGCGCCGCTAACATCATTTTATATCCTGCTGACATCATCTCTGCACAACACACTTTTCCTAACTATTTTCGACCTTCTAGACTCACTGGTACACTCTATTTTACCTAATTTTGCTCCTACAAGTCTATTTCTATCGATTTAGCCCTATCTGTCTATCGTAAGCCGCACCTGCGCCGTTCCGTTATCATGCACCAGCTTGCTACCGTGAGCCGCGTGTGCGCCGTTTTGCTAACGTGCGCCGCTAACATCATTTTATATCCTGCTGACATCATCTCTGCACAACACACTTTTCCTAACTATTTTCGACCTTCCAGACTCACTGGTACACTCTATTTTACCTAATTTTGCTCCTACAAGTCTATTCCTATCGATTTAGCCCTACTCAACTATTATTATGGATCGTCATGATGCCTCCCATCCCATTTCTGTTATTTTGAATGGTTCCAACTATGTTCTGTGGGCCCAAGCCATGTCTTCCTTCCTCAAAGGAAAGAAGCTCTGGCGAATTATCACCGGGGATGTGACCCAACCGGTGAAAGACACTAATGAAACTACTGATATTACTGCTGCTGCTACATATGAAGACCGACTTGAGGAATGGGATAGTAAGAATTACCAAATCATTACCTGGTTTCGAAATACCTCTGTTACCTCTATAAGTCTTCAGTTTGGTCGCTTTCAGCTTGACTCTGTAATTACTCCTGCAAAAGACATTTGAGATTTTTTGAAAGAACGATACCAGACTACTGGTCTTGCTCATCAATATCAACTTCAGAGCCAACTTCACTGGATGCGCCAAGAATCCGGTCAGTCCATCAATGACTTCCTTTCTTAAATGTACTCTGTTTGGGACCAGCTTGCTCTTTCCGAACCGACTTGGCCTCACCAAGAAGATGTTGTTTTATTTATTATCCATCGTAATCAGCAGAGGTTGGTGCACTTTCTCATGGCTCTTACTTCCTCTTTTGAGCCCGTACGTGCCTCTCTTCTTCATCGCCATCTATTGTCCACTCTTGAACAAGCTATTTCTGAGCTGCTATCAGAGGAGACTCGTCTCGGTACTCTCCAAACTCATCATGTGGACTCTGTTCTTGCCAGTCCTCCGTACCGGCCATCATTTACCCAACGGACCACTGCCTGCCTCTATTGTCAGAATCGGGGCCTTCCTTCAATACATCTCCTGGTCAATTGCCCTGTCAGATCTTGCCAATACTGCAACAAACTTGGTCCTGGTCATCTGCAACAAGATTGTTTTCGCAATTCCTCCTGTTCATCCTCCAATAGCCACTCCTCTCGCGGTGGTTCTTCCCGGGAGAGCTTTCATCATTCCGGGAATCAGTCTCATCACACTACTACTGCTTTCGGGAATCAATCTCATCACACTGCTGCTACTGCCTCTGAGGGTTTCTCTGAGTCACCTGCTCCGTCTACCCTTCTCTTTTCTCAAACGGATGTAGAGACCATGTTCAAACACCTTCTCTCCTCTTCTGGTACACCTTCTCCTACTGCTTTGTCTGTGATCCCAGGTAACTCTTCTTGGTATTTTGACTCTGCCTGTTGTAATCATATGACCTCCAGTTCTACTATATTTTCTTTCATCTCTTCATCTCCTCATATTCCCTCAATTCATACTGCTACTGTTTCCACATCTTCTTTATCTTTATCTCAAGTTTATCATATTCCTGCTCTCACCTTAAACCTTATTTCTATTGGTCAATTATGTGAACTTGGTCTAACTGTCACATTTTCTGCTACTGATTGTTTGGTGCAGGACCCTCAGATGGGGCAGACTATTGTGATCGGCCATAAACACGGACGTCTCTATGAACTCATCTACCTTCATGTTCCTGACTCTCCTCAGATCGATGCTCCTGCATCTGCTTCCTCATTATCTCATTTTCATCTTTGGCATTGTTGCTTAGGGCATATTTCTGTTAATCGCTTAAAGTCTTTGGTTTCTGATGGACAATTGGGTCATGTAATTGCAGATAATTTCGATTGTATACCCTGTCAGCTTGCCAAACAACCTACTTTATCATTCAATAAAAGTACTTATGTTTTCCATGCACCTTTTAATCTTATACATTCGGATATTTGGGGACCCTCCCCTACTACTACTATGGGGGGATCTCGTTATTTTGTTGTTTTTTTTAATGATTTTTCCCAGTTTACTTGGCTTTTTCTCATAAAAACTTGGTCTGAACTTAAACACCTTTATTATAGCTTTGCCCAAATGGTCCACACCCAATTTTCCAAAACCATCAAAATTTTTCGCTCTGACAATGCTATGGAATATCGGGATTCGGATTTTCTTTCTTTTCTTCAGAGTCATGGTACACTGCCTCATCGTTCCTGTGCTGGCATGTCTCAACAAAATGGCTGTGCTGAACGGAAACAGAGGCATATTCTTGACACTACTCGCGCTCTCCTTCTCTCTTCTTCCTGTCCTGAAAACTTTTGGGGGGAAGCTACTCTCACTGCTGTCTACACTATCAATTGTGCTCCTATCCCTCTCATCCACAATCAAACTCCCTTTGAACGTCTGCATGGCACTCCCCCTCTATACACCAATCTTCGGGTCTTTGGCTCTGCCTGCTTTGTTCTGCTTCAATCCCATGAACACACCAAACTTGAACCTCGTTCTCGTCTTTGTTGCTTTCTTGGGTATGGAATTGAACATAAAGGCTTTCGCTATTGGGATCCTATCTCTAAACGTCTTCGTATCTCCCAACATGTCGTTTTCTGGGAGCACAAAATGTTTTCCTCCCTATCCTCCTTTCACTTACCCGCCCTTGCCACTAATGTACTGTTTACTAATCCTTCCATAGATCTCTTCTTTGATGCTTTTGATAGAGGTTCCTCCTTCATCGAGACACCCTTGTTCACTCTTGATCCCATTCAGCCTACTCTTCCTAAAGGTCCACCTCTCATTGCCCCATCTCTTTCTCCACCGGTTCTTTCTCCCACCAATCCTCCTACGAGTCGACCACGCCGGGTAACTCAACCTCATATCCATCTTCGTGATTATATTGTTGGATCTGCTGCCTTTCTACTTATGAACCTACCTCTTATCGTGAGGCTTATACTAATCCTCTTTGGCAGCAAGCTATGACTGATGAACTCCAAGCCTTGGACAAAACTCATACTTGGGATCTTGTTGATCTTCCTCCTGGCAAGACTGCGATTGGCTGCAAACGGGTTTACAAAATCAAGACTCATTCTGATGGCTCTATTGAACGCTACAAGGCTCGTCTTGTTGCCAAGGGTTTCAACCAGGAATATGGTATTGATTATGAGGAAACATTCTCCCCTATTCCTTGGCTTACCTTTGTTCGCAGTTTACTTGTTGTTGCTGCTGCTCGCCACTGGGAACTCTTTCAAATGGATGTCAAAAATGCTTTCCTCAATGGTAATCTTCTTGAGGAGGTCTACATGCAACCTCCCCCTGGGTCCACTTTTCTCCCTTATAAGGTTTGCAAACTACAACGTGCCCTCTATGGCCTCAAGCAAGCACCCCGCGCTTGATTTGCTAAGTTCAGTTCTACTATTCATGACTTCGGGTTCACCTCTAGCTCCTATGACTCTGCTCTTTTTATACGGACTACTACTCATGGTACCACTCTTCTCCTTCTGTATGTGGATGATATGATTATCACTGGTAATGATGCAGCTAGTATTTTCCACCTCAAACGTTTTCTCCACCGACAGTTTGAGATGAAGGACCTTGGTACTCTTAACTACTCCTTAGGCCTTGAAGTCTCTCATGATTTTACTGTTTCCTATTTGTCTCAGGCCAAATATGCATCCGATCTTCTGGCTCGTGCTGGTCTTACTGATTGCAAAACTACCTCTACTCCAGTTGATCCTCGGATTCGTCTCACTCCTCTCGATGGGGATCCCCTCTCTGATGCTACTCTTTATCGCCAGCTCGTCGGAAGTCTTGTCTATCTCACAGTGACTCGTCCTGACATTGCCTATGCTGTTCACATTGTCAGTCAATACATGTCGGCTCCTCGCACTCCTCACTATACTGCTCTACTCCGCATCCTTCGCTACCTCAAAGGCATTCTGTTCCATGGTCTTCACTACTCTGCTTCCTCCTGTCTTGAACTATGTGCCTTTTCTGATGCTGATTGGGCTAGGGATCCTACGGATCGACGCTCTACCACGGGATTCTGTTTCTTCTTAGGGGATTCTCTTCTTACTTGGCGTAGCAAAAAACAATCCCTCACTGTTCGCTCTAGTACCGAAGCTGAATACCGGACTCTTGCTGACACTACTCAGGAACTTCTTTGGCTTCGCTGGCTCCTTGCTGATATGGGTGTTTCTTCTTCTGGTCCTACCTCTCTCTATTGTGACAATCAGAGTGCCATTCAGATTGCTCACAATGATGTTTTTCATGACCGCACCAAACATATTGAGATTGATTGTCATATCATTCGCCAGCATGTTACCTGTGGTACTGTTCATCTTCTTCCTATTGCTTCTGCCGATCAGCCTGCTGATATTTTCCCCAAAGCTCATTCTTCTGGGCGCTTCAGTGATCTTGTTTCCAAACTCAACTTGGTTGATGCTTTCCCTCCTTGAGTTTGCGGGGGGATGTTAGTGTATTATATAGCTGTTAGCATTAGTTTATGTAAAGTAATATAAAGTGTTAGTGTATTGTATAGCTGTTAGCATGTTAGCATTAGTTTATGTAAACTAATATAAAGTACGCTCTTCTTTTGCTTTTCCTTTCTAGTTTCGGTGCCTCACTTTGACATCCGATGCGTCCTCTCCTCTCTATAAAGAGAGTGCATTTCTCTTTGTAAATGAGACACAACACAGATCAATATAAGAGTTAATCATTCTCTCTCTCTCTCTCAAACTATTGTTTCAATACACGTTCAGTTACCACACACCACATGGAGCCAAATACAGTATAAAAGAAAGTGTGGTAACTTAATGCAATATATATAATTACAAAAAAATAAAAATACATGATTATTCTCAAAAGCAAGGAACTCATATGGACTAAAATTTTTAGAAACAAAGGATAATAAAGGTGAGAGTCCATATATAACCATTACTTGCTTATTGAATTTTTTGTTGGCTCAAGCATATGCAATATCTTGTTTACTTCTAGGCATTCTCATGAACTCTTTTCCCTTCCATTGTTTGGCCAAAGCGTAGATTTTAAATATATTTTTTTTCCCTTTTGAGGATTTCAAAACATGATCATTACAGCTGTGTGGGATGCCTTCAACTTTGACTGGATGTCATCCAGACAATCATACAGATCAAGAACCCTACAAAATTGTTTAATTTAAAGGTGTTAGTAAAGGAAAATTATAAAAATAAAAATAATCAAAAGACAAAATGATTTAACATCCAATTTCGGGAGAAGTTGTGGACCTTAGCAGTAGACTCCACATTTTTTTTTTCTTTTCATAATTGAATGTTAATAATTGGAGTTGTGCTCTGATAATAATAATAAATAAATAAAAATTCAAACATTGTCACAGATAAATTATAATTTTTCTCCCATTTTCTTTTTCCTCAACAAATTCTTACCCAAGTCTTAATTTTAGACACAACCTTAGGATGTATTTTTTTTTTTTTTTTTGGGAACAATTGTTAGAGGGAACCAATTTCCTTCTCAAATTCTTCCATAAATTGAATGGTTTGACTATCACTTTTCTCTCTAATCTATTGAAAAGAACTCAGCTTGCTTGCAGCTCCATTTTGGGACAGGAGAGTCTAATTCTACAGTTGTGAACCCATTTTGGATTCATTTTGTTGTTTCGAATTATTCAAATATAAGGCTTCTTGTAAGGATCATCGATGCCAAAAAAAAAAAAAAAGCCAAATTGATAAGATATCGGAAACTATCTCATTGAATCACATTTCTCTTTAATAAAATAGATATGTTTTTAAAAATAGAATAACTATTTTTTTAATACAAATAGAAACCAATTATTTAGTTGTCGATATTCAATCAATTTGATTTTTTATATGAATAATGAATTTTATAAATCGAATGGTTCACATTATCCAGACAAATCCGAAATAGGCCCACAAGTATAGAAATTGGATTCTCCAATTCAAAATGGGACTAGACACTAAAAAGTATTGTTTAGTTAAATATTTTTATGGAATTTTTGGGACAGTATTAAAACCCAAATTATTAAATTTTTTGTCACATAAATAAATATCTCTGTTTATAGAATTAGTTTATTAGTCATATAATAATAATAATAATAATAATAATAATAGAGTGGATGTTGAAGGTACCTGCTATTGTGTCCACTAGATGCCATGTTGGTCGACAAGATGATGAGTGCATTGCAGCTTCTACAAAGTTATTCAAAGCGTTTATAATTAAGCACTCTATAACAAATTCAATCAACAAGTTGTATTTTCAGAAATAAAAATAAAAAAAATAATGGAAAGTAAATTATCTTGAAAAATTCTATTTACTAACTAATAATGTTCTAGTGACTAAGTTTTTTGTATATAAAAAACTTAAATAAAATGGAATGAGTTGGTGAGTCTATCACTTGAAAATCAAAATCCCATCAAAAACTGCTATTGATGAATATAGTGGAGTTCTTTTATCAAGTTGCTTTTTAATTTAAAAAAAGACTGTTGTCATGTCATTCTGACTGATATTTTATTAAATAAAATATAAAAACTACAAAAATATTAATTTTTCCTATGTAATGCTATCAATGCAATGATACACATTTGTCATATTTTAAATGGTTTTGAAAATTTAATCACTATAGTATTATTGTTAATTGATTTACATAAAGTAATTATTTACTGTCATTAATGACAATGCCACAAAGCTATTTCGGCCTTGCTTGGGTTCTACACGAATGTTGGGTTGAGATTGATTTGTGGTGATGTCATTGGTGACAAAATAATTTTTTGAGAGAAAATTAAAAACTTCACAATTAGAAAAGAAATCATTTTAACTAACCTGAATCACAATTTGATGTAGAATTCCAGCTCCCACAAATGCACACCTCATTGACACCATCAATGGCATAACCACAAGACCCACCAGTTGCCTCACATGCCCTACAAAAGGCCTCCTTTCCCTTGCAAAGAGTACCTGACCCGAATCCCATAGGACCACCCATCCGGCCCACTAATCCGAACCGGTGCAACATTGTATGCACTACTGTACCCCTGGCACTCCAGCCTAGTCAAGTTCACAGCCCTAATTGCATCAAACCCAACAGCACAGCACTCGGGCGGGCCTGAACCATACACCGTGCCCACCCGCTTTGGCCCAATCACATCCCACGCCGGACAGCCCAAGTACTCCTCACAGCCCAAGCCCGAAACGTTCTGGCACGGCAAGTGCTTCCCGGGGAACCCTTGAAAAAGTGGGGACTCCGCTGAGCAGCCTATTAGCATGAACACGTTGTCGCTGGCGGGCGTCAGATATGAGGCCCGCCAATGCTCAACTGCAAAGCCGTTGCCCCGGCCACCCAGCACGATCGAGTCACAAGTCGACATGTAGGGGTCATGTAATGTGAGGGATTGGTAAGCATAGTCTATGTTTAGGACCCTGTATGATCCTGAGGGTATGTGGAACATGAGAACATCATTGATGCAGAACAAGAGGTCTCGAAAACCCGGGTGGCCGCACCCGGGTTGGAGGGCAAAAGGGTAATCTAGGGTTATGTTGCCACAGTAGGATCTGCAGGCTTTGACATGGTTGGGGTAGGTGTGAGCTAGTAGGGGAAGTGAGGCAATGAAGAGAGTGGTGGTGAAGAGGAGATGAACCATGGTTGTGACAGAGAGAGGAAAGGGAATGTGGCTGGGAAGAAGATGGAGTGTGTGTGCATAGTGAGGAAGTAAATGATGCTTTGCTTGGATGTTGAGAAAACTGTTTGAGAAAAAATATTTAGAAATATACCAAGTTTACATTTACATTTACATTTTTTTTAATTTATCAGTAAAGTAAAAATTTCATTAAAAATATAAAATTAAAGATATAAGAAGATAACATACATCATGAGATCTGGAAATTACAACTATCCCTACTACTGCTACTTGTACTTATACAATCAATCCCTCGGCCTTATATTAAAATCAACTTTAATTTAAAAAAAAAAAAAAAAAACCAAGAAAACAATAAACTAAAAAAAAGAAAAAAAGTTAAATGACTTCAATTTTTGTCCATAAAATTTAAATTTTGGACGCTTTTAGTTTTTTGGATTTTTCTTCTTCTATAAAATATTTACACTATACATAATGGATTTATCATCAGAATTTCATACCACTAGATATAAACGTAGAGGAACTCATATTAATAAATACACGTAAAACTTATGATTTATGTTCAATAGTGAGAGAATTAGATAAGAAATCAATTTGTATATATCACTTTCATTTATAAAGTGTTTAAAATTTGAAATATGTACATGAATCAATTTTATTTTTAATATTGCTCACACTCACCAACTTTAAATGTATATCATAAATTTAAATTTTAAATATTTGAATATTTTTTTTATAAAAAATTTGGGATAACTTTATTGACATGTGTGGGGGAATCTGGTTGAATTGTTTATGGGTTTTCCTTCTTCTTTTTTTTAAATTATTTTATTATTTTTTAGGGAGGAGGGAATTATTTGTTTTGAAGAAGATTTGGGTGACTTTTGGAACTCATATGATAGCTTTAGTTTGCTTTTTTGGCATTGGAGACCATTAAACTATTATAGCAGGATATGATGCTGTTGGCTTGCTTTTTGTTGAAGTAACATGCCTTGCAAATTATTCAATTAGGGTAATAATAAGACTACAAATTGATCGAATTGTTTGCAAACTTAATTTGTTAAGGGCTCGGTTTGTTAACTAAATAAATAAATTTTAGTTAAATTTTAAAACTCGTTAAATAAACGAGTTAAGCTTGAATTCGAATAAGTTCAGCTTGTAAAGAGTATTTAGTGCAACTTCTACTTAATTATTTAAAAATTAGAAAAATAATGCTTTTAATTTCTACTATCTAATTATTAATTTTCAACTTAAAAAATGTTCCAACCAGACTTATTATCTTCTTTAACTCTCTTTTTCTCTTATTTTTGTGTATTCACTTCATTGGATGGAAATGTTGATTGGTCCATAATAAATTATTTTTTTATTTCAATACATATTAAAAACCAAACTTTGATCCTATCAATTCAAAGGATAGACAAGATATCCCAAAACTTGTTTTGAGATGTAGGGGTTTTATACTCCAATCAACTACCTTGGACTCGAAAAAACTGAAAAAACACTATCCTAGACTGCTTTTCCATTTTTCAAAAGGCCAAAAACACATTTTTTTGACCTAACAAGCAAATCACTTCCTTTTGCACCACCACTACTATCTCACTGTATCACTACATAATAACCATCATCATGTCATCAATATCCCATTCACCTCCATTATCACTATCATCACCCCATCCTTCCTGTAAGATAAATTGATAGAGAGAGAATTACAGAGAAAATAAATTGTATGTATTATTGATTGATTGATATTGATTGTATTGTATGTACATTATATAGGAGATGTAAAGTGGAGATGGAGTGGTGGAGTAGGTGAAGTGGAGGTGGTAGTGGTGTAGTGGGTTAGGTTTAGTGGAGTAGGTGAGGTGGTAGTGGTGTAGTGGGTTAGGTTTAGTGGAGTAGGTGAGGTGGTAGTGGTGTAGTGGGTTAGGTTTAGTGGAGTAGGTGAGGTGGTAGTGGTGTAGTGGGTTAGGTTTAGTGGAGTAGGTGAGGTGGTAGTGGTGTAGTGGGTTAGGTTTAGTGGAGTAGGTGAGGTGGTAGTGGTGTAGTGGGTTAGGTTTAGTGGAGTAGGTGAGGTGGTAGTGGTGTAGTGGGTTAGGTTTAGTGGAGTAGGTGAGGTGGTAGTGGTGTAGTGGGTTAGGTTTAGTGGAGTAGGTGAGGTGGTAGTGGTGTAGTGGGTTAGGTTTAGTGGAGTAGGTGAGGTGGTAGTGGTGTAGTGGGTTAGGTTTAGTGGAGTAGGTGAGGTGGTAGTGGTGTAGTGGGTTAGGTTTAGTGGAGTAGGTGAGGTGGTAGTGGTGTAGTGGGTTAGGTTTAGTGGAGTAGGTGAGGTGGTAGTGGTGTAGTGGGTTAGGTTTAGTGGAGTAGGTGAGGTGGTAGTGGTGTAGTGGGTTAGGTTTAGTGGAGTAGGTGAGGTGGTAGTGGTGTAGTGGGTTAGGTTTAGTGGAGTAGGTGAGGTGGTAGTGGTGTAGTGGGTTAGGTTTAGTGGAGTAGGTGAGGTGGTAGTGGTGTAGTGGGTTAGGTTTAGTGGAGTAGGTGAGGTGGTAGTGGTGTAGTGGGTTAGGTTTAGTGGAGTAGGTGAGGTGGTAGTGGTGTAGTGGGTTAGGTTTAGTGGAGTAGGTGAGGTGGTAGTGGTGTAGTGGGTTAGGTTTAGTGGAGTAGGTGAGGTGGTAGTGGTGTAGTGGGTTAGGTTTAGTGGAGTAGGTGAGGTGGTAGTGGTGTAGTGGGTTAGGTTTAGTGGAGTAGGTGAGGTGGTAGTGGTGTAGTGGGTTAGGTTTAGTGGAGTAGGTTTTTTTATTAAAGAACATTTAGGATATATATTGCAAATTTTATTCATATGTGCACACAATCCAGAGCTTTGACCTATCTCATATAAACTCAAGCACAATTTTGCAGTTAGTCGGCAGTTTCTTATATTTATTTGCCACAAGCACCATGCTAGGAGTCGTAGTGAGTACCTGCCCCTCTCTCTCTCTCTCTCGTGTGTGTATGTATGCATGTGTTTACTTCTGTTCTTATGTCTCTGACATTTTTGTTTATACTTGTGCATGCTGGATTTGCTTAGTCCGTTCATGCGGTTACAAATTTGTCGAACCGGCTGCAGAGTAGGACAAATGAGGTGCAGCAGTTAAACTCCCAGCTGGCTCTGCTCCAACGCATGTATAAGGATGCGCGAGCAGAGATAAGCGTGCTAAGGGCAGAAAACAAGGAGCTGAAGCGGAAGGCCACCGTGATGTTCCGATTTGGAGGGCCGCCATATGCTGTAGTGGAGGAGCAGGGGGGAGTGAACGTGCTCGGCGGATTAGGAAGCACGGAGACCGGACTGGCACGGGACACCCAAGATAAAAGTAAGAAGAAGAGACCTGCAGTAGAGTAGAGAAGGGAAAAGAAAAATCCCTCCTGTGAGAGGGAGGTTGTTGTGTGTGGGGTTTTTTTTTTTTTTTGGTTGTAGAATTGTGCTCGGGGTTGATCCCCGAGATGAATAAAATGACAAGGTTGTGGAATGTTGTTGGTGGTATTTGGTGTTGTTGTTTTGTATAATAATAAAAATAAAATAAAATAAAACAATGGATAAAAATATTTGTGGATGGATGATATGAAAATCATCGGTGTGATATTTTTTTTTTTTTTTTTTTTTTTGAGAAAGTGCACAAGTTGAATTATGTTGAAAATTTATAAAATTTTAAATCGCCAAACCGATTCGCATCCATCCGCTAATCCGCTCAATTCGCATCCACCCGCCAATCCGCTCAATTCGCATCCACCGGATTAGTAGCATGAAGCGTGTTGATGCAACTGAATTTGCAAAGCAAAGGAAAACCTCGGTGAATTTTTAACATAATCAATTATCAGTCCAAAAAGCACAGAGCCGACCAAAAAGCACTGATCCATTCTCCAACGCACCAGCTGTTGTCCACCCATCCCATCAATTACCACGTGAGAGAGAGAAAGCCTCGGAGTAGGTGAATACTCAAACAATTCACACTGGGGTGGTAGGGCGTATGATAATATATTATAATGGTGCGAAAGATGTGCTACAGCTGGGTGTGCATAAAGGTGAAGGAAATGGTGGGAAAGTTGACAAAGAGTAGAGAGAGATAGAGAGAGTGAGAAGTGTGACCTTCTTGCATGGGTTTGGTGTGTGTTTGTGAATCAGTGAGCTCCTCCCCCCCTTCCGCTCGGTCTGTGTGTATCTATGTCATGCATGGAGCATGTGTGAGAGGTGTGCTGTGGAAGGAGAGAAAGAGAGAGGTGAAGCTTGTGTGTGTGTGTTCAGCCCCTCTCCATGTGTGCTGGGTTTGTCGAGAGACAGAAGAGAGAAATCAGTGCCTCCCTCTATGTCCCTGTGTGATGCTGTCTAATGGTCTTCTTCTCAATGGTGTGTTGGGTGGATGTCTCCTCCCTCTCTCTACCCATGTCTGTCATGAAATGGTCCCTCTATCTGTCCGTATCAATCATCTGTATGTATGTGTTGTGTGTTGTCGCAGCTCCGTGTGTGCGTGTGATGGCAGTGGTATGTGTCTGCTGTGTGTTGTGTATGGTATATCTCGGCTGTAGGGTAAGGTGGCCCGGTCATGATCAGTCACGGCTGGAAGCAGTGGCGAGGCTTCCGGGGACAGACATGAGGTGCGCAGACCGTGTTTTGAACCATCATTGTTGCAGACGCTTATTTTTGGGTATTCACTTCATTGGATGGAAATGTTGATTGGTCCATAATAAATTATTTTTTTATTTCAATACATATTAAAAACCAAACTTTGATCCTATCAATTCAAAGGATAGACAAGATATCCCAAAACTTGTTTTGAGATGTAGGGGTTTTATACTCCAATCAACTACCTTGGACTCGAAAAAACTGAAAAAACACTATCCTAGACTGCTTTTCCATTTTTCAAAAGGCCAAAAACACATTTTTTTTACCTAACAAGCAAATCACTTCCTTTTGCACCACCACTACTATCTCACTGTATCACTACATAATAACCATCATCATGTCATCAATATCCCATTCACCTCCATTATCACTATCATCACCCCATCCTTCCACTATCAGTGTCAGCTCACTTTTGTGATAGTCCAACCTTCAATGAGGTTTAAGATGAAATCTTAATTAACATGTATATTTTAACATTACAACTCTGGAATGTAATTTTTTTTTCTTTCTTTCTATCATTGTAATTAAAAATAGAATTTTTGAACAATGAAAGTTTTGTTTTTCTTAAAAAAAAATTGAATATTTGGGTTAAACAAATTTAGTTTTTGTTGGGCTTTTGAGCTTCCTTCAAGCCATTACAATCATGGACACTAGAACAAGAAATTTTTTTATTAGATTTTATTATTGAGGCCCTTGGGCAATGCATGTTTTTTCTGGGCCTTGGACAAATTTTTGACAACTTGTTTTTGTTAATTTTGTAGATATTGAATTCCCCAACCCAAACCCCCCCCCCAAAAAAAAAAATTTAGACCCCCACTCTCTTAAATATTAGACAAAGGGTAAATTACACTTACACCTCTTGAGGGTTAGATTTAATACATATCACTTCCTGACGTTTGAGAAATTACACTAACCCCCCCCAAAATATTTAGACCCCCACTCTCTTAAATATTTAGACAAAGGGTAAATTACACTTACACCTCTTGAGGGTTAGGTTTAATACATATCACTTCTTGACGTTTAAGGAATTACACTAACCCTCTTGTTATTGAAATTATTTAGACTGAATGAAGATATTAAACTCATGCACTCTCTCTTTTTTTGCTTTGCTTTACTTTTCTTTTTTTTCCCCTTTCCTTTATTTTTTTTAACGTAATTTCCTCTATTTTTCTAGTAAGAGTTGTTATTTTTTTATATAAGTAGGGGAGTTTGTGAAATGAGACTATTAATCACAGGAGTGAGAATGTAATTTTCAAAACGTCAAGAGATGGATTATAATTAGACCAAATCTCAAGAGGTGTCAATGTAATTTACCCTTACACAAATAACTTAAAATTTTGAGAACTATTTAAAAATGGGACCTTAAGCAATAATATTTTATTTTGTTACTCATTAGAATCTATACTAGCTTACACTAAGGAGAAAGGAAAACAGATTGCCTCCAACGCTCCACATAGGGCCCAAACCAACAAAATTCACCATGGGGTTTAGAAAGCATATCACTATCACTTTGGCATAAGGCCGAAGTGACAACCTCAATGGCCTTAACATTGTACCGGCATGCCACCAATATCTCACCATCACCGACCACTATCACTTTTATAATTACCTTATAATCACTATTGTCATTATTGTTACCATCACTACTATCTTATAAATGTGTATTTATAAAAGGAAATTTTAAATTGATCTTTAGATGCTATACCTCATATTATGACTTGGACCATAATTTTAAGTAGTCATGAGGTGATATTTGATCTCAAAGCTTGAATCAGTAAAATGACACCAATGTGTTATAGTCTTCGGTTGTCATGTCAATTTTTTTAGTTTTTTGGTTATTGTAGTCACAAAAAAATAAAATAGGCTTTTTAATTTAAGAAGATAAAATATCACATCTAAATTATAAGGTGCCGTTTGGTAACATTTACGTTTTCAGTTTTCAGTTTATATTTACAAAAATTTAAAAAACTCAAATAAAAACTTGTTTGGTAAATTTTTGATTTATAAATCAGTGGTCTCAGTTTATAAATTTGGCTAAAAAATATAAACTCAAATAATGTGTTTCCGTTTTGAGTTTTGAGTTTTTTTTTTTTTTTTTACCACCCTACACTAGCCACCACCCGTCACCATTTTTCACCACCGTCTTCCGTCACCACCACCCATCCCCCACCCCCTACCACCACCTGCCACCACTACCCACCACCACCCACCCCTCGCCGCCGCCACCACCACCACCCACCTGCCATCCACCCGCCATCACCCACCACCCGCCACTACCATCCACAAACCGCCACCACCACCCGCCACCTACTTGCCACCACCACTCACCACCCACCTGCCACCACCAGCTACCTGTCACCTACTTGTCACCACCACCACCACTACCACCATCACCCACCACCCACCCTCGTTACCACTATCACTACCATGCCACCACCATCATTATCACTACTACCACTACCACCATCATGCCACCACTACTGCCACCATCACCTTCATCACCATTATTATTGTCTTCATAAGCACCATCATCATTTTACAACCACTATGATTGCTACTGCTACCACTACCACTACCACCACCACCATCATGCCACTACCACTACCAACATTACCACTACCACTACCACCACCACCACCACCATCATCACCCACCACCCACCTGCCACCATCACCCATCACCCACCACCACCACTACCACCACTCACTCGCTACCATCTACCACCCGCCACCGTCACTCACCCACCCACCACCACCACCCCCCGCCATCCACCCCCCACCTGCCACCACCACCCACCCACCCGTCACTGCTTTCCACCACCGTCTTCCGCCGCCACCACCCGCCATTTGCCACCACTTTCCACCACCGTCTTCTACCACTATCACCCACCACTTGCCACCATTTTCCACCACCGTCTTCCGCCACCACCACCCGCCATTTTCCACCATCGTCTTCCACTACTACCACCATCTTCCACCGCTACCACTTGTCATCAACCACCACCCGCCACCACTTGCCATTTCTCACTTTTTTTTTTTATATTTTTAATTTTTTTTAAACATTTCATCTAAACCAAACGCGTTTGTAGTTTATGTTTTTCTAGAAATAAACAAAAACTAATTTATAAAATTTTTATAAATATAAACTGAAAACGTAAACGTTACCAAACAGGCCATCATTTCATTTTTTTTTTCTTTCACAAAAGTCAAAAAAGTCAAAAAAACTATCCCAAACAAGGTTTTTTAGTCCTAGGTTAAAATAGCTAAAAAGTCAACCTACATCCCAAGTGAACCCATAGTAAGACTTCATTTGTGAATAGGTTTTTTTAGTGATTTTTTTTTTTAAATTTTTTTAGGCTAAAACATGAGATGAAAAAATCAATAAGCTTGTTTGGTTTTTGTTTTTAGAAAACATTTTCAGAAAATTTTACTTTCTTTTTTTTTCATTTTTTTTGTGTTTTCATTGAATTTTTTTAATAATTTAAGATTTTTTTAATTTTTAAACACACCTAATATAAATACACTTAAAAAGTATAATATTTATGAAAAAAATCTTTAAAAAATTCACTAAATTCCAAAAATATAAAAATATAAAAAATATGAAAATTCAATATATTTTTCGTATTTTTATATATTTATTAATTTTTTAAAATATTTTTTTACAAATATTTTACTATTTAAATACATTTAAATAAGGTGTATCTAAAAAAATATTAAAAAATTGCTTAAAAATTTAAAAATATTCAATAAAAACAACAAAATATGAAAAATAAAAAAACTCAATTTTAAAAAAATTGAATTCAAAAAACTGAAACCAAACACACTGAATATGTTTGGGATGAATTTTTAATTTTTCACGGCAAGATATGTCAAAAATAAAGTGAATAAAAATAAATCTTTAACTTTTTAGTTTTTTTTAGTAAGGATTAGACTAAAATTATAACTTCCCAAACGAGGCCTAATTTCTCTATATTAACCAATTAACATTTTATCATACTAATATTATCCAAAAATAATAATAATATCATGTTAATTAAAATAGGGGAAATAACATATTAGTGGTAATTTTAACAAATATTATCACATTCATAGAAAAATTTATACATTTATTTTTTAATGTTACAAAATTTTTCATTAATTTAAAAATATTTTTCTTAATTTCCAATATTTCTCCATTAAAATAGTGACAATTAGGAATAAGAGAGTGAGAAAAATGTGATGGATCAATTGATCACGTAACATGCGATTATGTCGAAGAGGCGTTATCTATCTCATAATCTCATCCTCTCTCGGTCTTCCTGCTTCATAATTGGGTTTCTAATTTCATTGTAACAACAATCTCACAAAGGTCAGCTCTCTCTCTTTCTCTCTCTATGACCCTTCTTCAATTTCAATTTTATCTTCGATTTCGCATCAATTTTCAATAACCCAAAACCCTATTTCTCAAATCAAACCCTTTATCATCAGTTCCAATCAATTAGATTATTGTTGTAAATTCATCTACACGATCTAGTATTTATTATCAAGTGTTTGTTTGTATAATCAATTGGAGTTTCGACTGTTGATTTTTGAAGTTTTTTGTTTTTTTGGTGTAAATTTGGGTCTTAAAGAATCGAAATTTTTACTGAGCAACAACAGATGATGAATGGAGAGAGGACTCGCGGAGAGACATCTCCCGAAGTCGCCTCTCCGGATCCACTCGATGAGCTTCAGCCCTGGCAATCTCCGAAATCGGACGATGAATCGCCTGTTAATTCGCAGTACTCTTCGTGTGGGGAATCGGAGCTTGAGCGGTACTGTAGTGCCAATTCCATGATGGGGACCCCTAGTTTGTGTAGTTCAATAGGAACATTTCAAGATTGTGCTGATTCTGAGTTTGGGTCTATGAGGAGTTTTAGTAGTTTAGAGAATTTTAGTCTGGCAGGTGGGTTTGCTAGAAAATTGGGAGAGAGGAGACTTTCGTCGTCGGGTGGATCAGGTTGTTTAGTGGATCCTAGAATTGAATCTGGTGACGGAAAGAACAGTTCAGAGGTGAGAAATGATGTTGAATTAGGGAGCGAGTTTGTGGGGAGAGATGATGGGATGAATTCACAGCACCAGCTCAATCGTGTGGATACTGGTGATGTAGTGTTGTCAAAGGTTGGGAGTGATTCGGACTTACTCGCGGTTTTGGACTTGAGTACTGTGCTGGGTGAGGAACTTTATGCTGAAGATGATGGTGGTGGAATTGTCCGGTGGAGAGACCACAGTGAGTTGGCAATGCTGCAAAGTTCTGCTGGAAGTGTGTCTGAGCAGCAGATTACTAATGTAGAAGCCGTTGATGAAAATGTTTTAGGTCGGGGGGTTAATAGTGATACCCATTCTTCAGCAAGGGTTATTGAACCAGTTGACAGTTGTTTAGATGAGTTATGTTCAGGTACTGGTGTGGAATTTGATGTGGGGGAGGGTGGAAGGCGCTCGGATGAGGATAAAGCTTCATCAAGATTTGAGCATTCTGAAGGTGAAGATTCAATGTTCGGTTATGGTACAGATGATGAGCAGAAAATTGAATTGGTTCATCAGAGGAACACACAATATCATCAGGAAGCACAAAGTAAGAAGGAAAATTCATTGCTTATGAGTTCGTCTGTTGCATTTGGTGCAGATGATTGGGATGATTTTGTGCAAGAAACAGGGCAATCTGATATAACTTCAATAATGTTGGAGAAGAGAGAACCAAATATTGAATTTGAAGGACACCTTATAAGTTCCTCTTCTCGGGCTGATACTGGTTTCCCTGGTGTTGATATTTCTGAATCCAGCAATCAAGTCCAAGGTGCTGATGAATTGGAAAAGTGCATTAAAAATGGTTCTGCGACTCCAGTTGATTTTCTGGATTTTCGTGAGTCAGAGAAAGGAAAAGATGCAGAAGATACTGTTACCATCAATCAAGATGGAGATCTTGATGAATTGGAAGATTATCTTAAAACATGTCCTGGTGGTGATATCTTAGAAAGAGAGTTGGATCCACCATTGCAAGAGACACCTTTAAATAAAGGTTTGAACCTTGTGGGTGGTAATTTGAGGAAGGAGAGTCCACTTCTAAGTACCCAGGAATTTGACAATGTTGGCGACAGTCGAGTTTCAGAAAGTCAAGAGTCTGAGAAATCGAAGGTTCAGTTGGACCCTCTTTCTGATATTAAATCTAGCCTACTTTGTTCGGCATCAACTGAAAAATCTGAAGAGCAAATGGTCGATTTCGTTAGAGAACCATGTCCATTGCTATCAATGGATGAGAATAATATAAAAAGGCCGCTGAAGGATTCTCCTGCTTCATTCAATCTTTTTGAAGACCAGCCTAAGGAAATTAAGGTGAGGTAACAGTTTTCATTCATACGAAGATCAGTACTTTAGTATCTTCTTTCATTTTCAGGTTTTTTTTTTTTTTTGGCATTCAATCAGCGGCAAATATGCTCTGCTGCTTTGAAAAAATAAAATAAAATTATCAATTCCTGCTTGATAATCATGTACATCCACATTAATGCATGCTATGTAGACCATTTGTACTTACATAAATCAGTTTTTCATCTCCCATAAACTTGAAGTAAAATTTAAAATGAGATATTGGGTTTTTCTGAACATATATGAGAATTTTCTTCTTCTTCTTTCTGTTGGAGGACAGAATTTCTGACAGTTAATTTTTCCCAACAGAACTTGTATTTTATCCCTCTCAAACGCCGTTTATGTTTTATCATTTAGCATCTAGATAGGTGGATGTTAGTTCTTCTGTTTGATGTGTGACAAAAATTTGAATTCTGTATAGGTTTATCAACAAACGAAAAAATTGATTGATGGGGTTCAAAAACTACCAGTTTGTGAAATATTTGATCATTTTTGTGTAGCACCACAGTCTTAGAAATTGTGCAAGGAGACTTCTGAAATATTATTTGTGTCAGTTATTTAAAGACAAGAATCGTGCTTTACTTTTATCGTAGTCAAATGTGGTGCCATTCCTGGATCCCTTCTTGACAAATGTTCCTCCACCCCTCCCTAAACAGCCCACCTTGTAGCATAGCAAAAAATTGCCTCAACAGAGCCTACTTCCCAATCTTTCCCCTACAGAATGCAGGTGCTCATACCATTCCTGGCTATAGTATCTAATATGAGAGTATCTACTACTCTAGTTTTCTGTTTTAGGCAATGGTGCTTACTATACATATTTATAAAAGCATAGAATTAGAAAAGACGAAGGAAAAAACTGTTTTTATATGCTTTGAGAATTCAACTGTAGTGTAAAATATTTAGAAAGGAGGAATAGTTGCACAAATATAATGGAGTAGATAGGATATCTTGATGGCTGATGAGGTATAGCACTTTATCTGCATTCTAGTCATTGGCAAAAGACTGTTACCAGTGGCATGAGCCATGTCATTGTCATCTATAGAGTACCACTATGAGGACAGTAAAAAAAAAAAAAATCTTAATTCTTTTTTTGACTGATGTGCATTTATTTGATCTTTGTGAATGCAAGTATATTCTATTATGTATGGTTGAGATTCAAGCATGTTCTTTTTTCTCTTTATATCTTTTTTTGGGTTAGGGGGTTAACTAATGTTCACCTATTTGTTGAGTGTATAGCTGATCAAATACTGTCTATGGTTACATGCCAACCTGCTCCATTTTTTCAATGGAGAATTCTATTTTTATTATTATTTTTTTTCAAGTATTTAATGGAATTCCTTATCTCTATTTGTTCATATTTGTTGTTTTATTATATCTAACAGGTAGAGAATCTAGAGTTAAATGAATTCTACTGTGAGATTGTCCATGAAATGGAAGAAATTTTACTTGACTCCACCGAGTCTCCTGGGGCTAGGTTCACCCAGCGTGATATGGTATATCGACCCCACTTGCCTCTGCCTTTAAGAGATGGTGGGTCAACTGCCTCTACTTCTGGTGATGACAATGCTCACAATGTAGTCCAAAGCCCTTTGACAATTGATGGGGTCGAAGTAGTAGGGGCAAAACAGAAGAAGGGAGATGTCTCATTTGGTGAAAGGCTAGTTGGGGTGAAGGAATACACTGTTTATATAATAAGAGTGTGGAGTGGAAAGGATCATTGGGAGGTCGAACGACGGTACCGTGATTTCTGCACTCTCTATCGTCGGTTGAAGACATCGTTTTCTGGGCAAGGCTGGATTCTTCCTTCTACCTGGTCCTCTGTCGAACGGGAATCTAGAAAGATTTTTGGGAATGTCTCTCCTGATGTTGTTGCCGAGAGAAGTGCTCTAATTCAAGAGTGTTTACGATCCATTCTGCACTCCAGGTTTTCATCCAGCCTTCCAAGTGCTCTAATTTGGTTCTTGTCTCCACAAACATTTCTTCCTAGTTCTCCTGCATCTAATAAATCCAACCCTCAGTCTCCCTTTTCTGCCAGAAGCACAGACACAGACAATGTATTGACATTTGGGAAGACCATATCACTTATTGTTGAAATCCGACCAAATAAATCCATGAAACAAATTCTGGAAGCACAACACTATATTTGTGCAGGATGCTACAAACATTTTGATGACGGGAAAACCCAGATACTGGATTTTGTACAGACACTTGGGTGGGGCAAACCTCGTCTTTGTGAATACACCGGTCAGTTGTTTTGTTCTTCATGCCATATGAATGAAACTTCTGTCTTGCCGGCAAGAGTTTTGCATCACTGGGATTTTGCTCAGTATCCAGTTTCCCAATTGGCTAAATCATATCTGGATTCTATTTATGACCAGGTAACTGAAGATTGGTAAATGTCTGTTGGACTGCTGTAATATGTTTTCTTCTGTAATTCTTTGTTGATCGGAAAAAGCTGAATAATCACATGAGTAGGCAACTCAAATGAAGATTCTAATTATAGGAATTGATTTCGTGGTCTCCAATTGTCAATCTTTGCACGATCATTTACAGAATTGCAAATTTTTAGTTGACACTAGCATTGTGGCAAGAAAGTGAAGTGGATTGGTCAAGATGCTGATAGCCTTGCTTGCATTTTCATGGAGCTAACATCTTTTTAATTTAGTGATTTTAAAAATTCTGGCTTCAGTGGCTTTTCTACAATCAAAATGTGGATTTAAATGAATAATGCTCAGCAACTGTTGAGCATGGGAGTGTATTCTAGAGACCAAGAATAAGCAATAAATTCAGTTAATGATATTTTGGCTCATACTCCAATGAGGCCACATTCTAAATGCTTATATATGTACTAAGATAGGCATGCATATTATATGATGCCTTATCTTTCACTAAATTGTGGATTGAGAAGTTGTGTGAGGTTTTCAAGTCCTGCCTAAATTTTATCTTCCACCTCGGTAAATTTATTCTATTTTATTATCTTTTTGCAGCCCATGCTTTGTGTCAGTGCGGTTAATCCTTTTCTCTTCTCCAAAGTCCCTGCTCTAGTACAAGTTACGGGTGTCAGAAGAAAAATAGGAGCCATGCTTCCTTTTGTTCATTGCCCATTCCGTATGTCCATATACAAAGGACTTTCCTCTCGGAGATATCTTCTTGAAAGCAATGATTTTTTTGCACTAAGGGACCTCATTGATCTTTCAAAAGGTGCATTTGCAGGTTAGCTTTCAATCACAAGTTCTTTGCTCTCTTTTGTTTTGGTGAGAAGACACATTATGAGGTTTCAATCTGTCATGCATTTACACATATACCTTTTTAATGTAATTTCACAATGTATGCAGTGCAGCATCTATATACTCACACCTGTAGAACTCATGTCGACATTCCATAAAATTAGCTAACTTTAGCATCTTGACTCTTGGGAAGTGTCAGAAATGGGCTCTTTTTTTTTTTCTTTTTTTTTTTTAGCATTTTTATATTCTCATTATTTCTTATGAGAATTTCATGACATACTAGGTTTTGTGTTTTGTACCATCATTTGCTGACATTGGCTCCATTTTCTTCCAAATTCTATATTTTAGAGGATAAATTTATCTTAATGTGCCATGAATAAAATTTTAATGATTCCATATTCATGAAAGGTTTGAAAGGTTTAAGTGTTCCTCTAATGTTGTTGAAGTTGAAGGCTTATATTGAAGATCTATACTTGAAGATATATTCCTCGTTGCTTACTCAACCTTCAATAAATGGATGTGCAGTTAATCTTGCTATATTTAATTTGTTTGATAGGAATTAATTATAGGAATTGATTTCATGGTCTCCAGTTTTTTTATTATATGTTACTAGTCAGAATGTTCATCTTTTGGGTCTCTTGTAAATGTGTTGTATGTTTATCACCTCACCTATGAAGCAAACATACCATACAGTTGTATCCATATCAAATACCGATACTCTTTGAATACTTGCAGATATATATCCAATACTGTATGTATCTGACATATTTTGAAATTAAGATGCATTTGATATTAATTTTCTTAAATTTTGAGAAGTAACGGATACTCTAAGTCACGTATCCAAACTATTGAAGTTAAGATTGTAGCATTCCTTGTGTAGTATTAGAGTATAATTGTTGGTATAAATGCTAGAATAGTTTTAAATACTTTGCATACTACTTAGAGAAGAAAATTTGGGAGATAGTGAGATTAAAGCATGTCAAATTTGGTTCAATTTTGTGTCCATCATGTAATTTTTTCACTATGTCAGTTTACTCCCTTTTTAGGACTTTTGTTTTGTTCTTATGGCACTTCAACTGGAATAAATTATGCTTCCTTGCTCGTGCATTAAAGTTGGTATTCTTTACATGTAATCAGAAAGCTGCCATAGACGACTTTGCTCATTTTATTCTCAAAATAGCATCTGTCAGTTAATTCGGTGTTCTATCTTTTCATGTGTTAATATTCTTCAATCTCATGTTACATTTAGACATTTATTGACATCTTTGATGGTTTTCCGACAATTTGTTCCCCTAGATGTTTGACTTCACATATTATAACTAATCTGTGTGTGTTTTTGGTGTTTACAATCTTCATTTTTGCAGCGCTACCTGTGGTGGTAGATACTGTCTCAAGCAAAATCCTGGAACACATCACAGAGCAATGCCTCATATGCTGTGATGTGGGCATCCCTTGCAATGCACGACAAGCCTGTGATGACCCATCTTCACTCATTTTCCCTTTCCAGGTGAGTATGTCTTAGTATTTTACATCTGCGCATGGATCTCATGCTCAGTTTCCAACCCATTATAGTTATGTGCCGATCACAATACCCTAAGAAGCATAGACACTTCTAAGAAAGTGACTGTCGTGTGACTGTGTCAGACAGAAACACAACACAACATGACACTTATCAAACACTTCTCAGACACATGTCCAAACATGTCCTAACTATTCTTAAAAAATTTCTAGACTCAGACACGCTTCATGGACTTGGACAACACATGCCTGTCGCTTTGATACACACGAACCACATTACAAATTTGATTAAAATAACTTGGAATGCAGTGGTTTTTTTTTCAGGGGGGGGGGGGTTAAATTTATATCTATTCTCCTCCTTTATACTTTTAAAATTATTATCTTTGAGTTAAAGATTTATACACGACATATAATAATTGCTTAACCTTATATATTTCATATAATAAATATCTAAAACTATAAACTTTGTGTGTATTCTCAATGTATTGTGTCGTACAATTTTTTAAATTTATGTGTTAGCGTGTCCGTGTCTTTGCTTCTTAGACGACACCACCACCTCCCCTTGTTAAATAAATGAGAAATCTTGTCGGTGCTTCTTTGCTAAGCTTGTTTTTTCTGGAATACGTTAACTTGTAATTGTGTGCATCTGAAAGCTTCCCAAGTGCTGCAAATTAAATTACAGATCCCTAAAGTTCCAATGTCAATATGAATGCTTCTATGGTTACATAAGAAATTTCAAATGAAAGTAAGATGAACAACCACGATACTGACTCGATACCAAAAACTGACAGGAAGGAGAAATAGAACGGTGTAGATCTTGTAAGCTAGTTTTCCATAAACTATGCTTCAAGAAGATCACAAGTTGTCCTTGTGGGGAGCGTCTTGAGCAGGACAGAGAACAGGGAGGCTCAGCTAATGTGAGCCATAGGGTCGACAGTACAAGTGGCGCTTTGGACTTGTTTGGGAGGAAATCGGATTCCACTGCCACTGTGGGATTTTTCTCCAGACTCTTTTCGAAGGCAAGCCCGGAAAAGTCATGGGGGGCCAAGGACAGCGATACTGTGATCTTAATGGGTTCTTTGCCAAGCACCTCCCTTTGATCACTTTGTGATTTTAGAGTACTATTTTTGTATTTTTAGATTGGAAGCCAAGACCGTTGGAAGTTATTTGTTTGATGTTGGGTTGTCATTCAAATAATCAGAGCTGGCCATTGTTATTATAAACCAATAAACTGGGCTCTGGAGGGTGGTGAGATCTGTTCCAACTTTCCTCCTTTCCCTTTTTTTTTTTTTAATTTTTAATTTTTTTTAATTTTTTTAATTTTTATTACTAGTTTGTATTCTTTGTAAAACAATTTCAGATGAAAAGAGAGTGATGTATTTTTTTTACTTTAGGTCTTTCTGCATTGCCTTTTATTTTGTTGAGAAAATTTTTATAAAAAAAAAATAATCAAGGTTTGATCCTAATAATTAAATTTTAATTATTTCAATTTAAATTCTCAACTTTTAAATGGTATTAAATCAAGGATAGGTTTATTTAAAATACGGATTATCCCTTGTGATTATAAAAATTATATATCATTTCTTCAAATTTGTAATTGCATATAATTCAATAAGTCAATAACAATTTTTAATTATGTCAAAAACATATTTTAATTAATTATTTTACTGTTGTACAAAAAAAAATAGTTATGAATCTTAAATTTTTTTTAATTTTGTTAAATAAATTTTTTTAATAAGTTAATATTTGTAATTTTTAGAATCACAAAGAATAATTTGTATTTTAAACAAATCACAGATGTTGTATTTGTATTATTTTTTTTTTAAATTTATAAAATAAAATATAATGTGCCTAAAAATTTGGCCAAAATCCCTCTATCTTCTTTGGTAGTAAGAATTAGGGATGTAATCGGCTCGGGACCGTCGGTATTTAGGTGGAATTTTACACCGAACCGATAATGTCAATTTTATTATATTGAAAATCAATATATATCAAATTTTTTATCAAATCGCACCACACCACACTGATTCAAATAGTTCAGTTCCATGCGATTTAAATACTTTCAAAATTGAGTCATTTCTTAAATTTGTAGTATAATAAATAATTTATATAAAAATATTAAATTATCTATTTGTACACAAGTTTAATCATATCTAATCCAACCATTCACAAAAATACAAATAAAAAAATTAATAAATACTAAAGCTTGAAGCTTTTGTAGAATTAGAATTAGATACAAAATATAATTTAAGAACTAAAGTCTTGATATCAAAACAAAACCAAAATTTAAAACAATCATCCTATAAGTCTAAACTACAAGTCTATCAAATAGAGTCAAAAAAAAAAAAAAAATGAAGGCATTGTAGTAACAAAAGTTGACTCAAACATATCAGTAGCAAACTAGCAGCTTATCACATTATCAATGTCCATTATCAAACCTAAAATATTTAAGAAAAAATAAACAATTAGGTGAATCAACTAAAAGTGAAACTAAGACTTCGTTTGGCAAGTGACTTTTTTAGTTAAAAAGTCAAAAAGTCACTAAAAAAATCAAAAAACCAATAACTCATATCAAAAAATTAAATATTCTCTTTTTTCTCTATTTTTGCACATCTTTTCGTAAAAAGTCAAAAGTCATCTCAAATATACTAATTATTTTTAGTTCATATTTTAATCAAAAAATTAAAAAATTACTAAATTAACCTGTTTTCAAACGAGACCTAATTATTAACTTCAAATGTCATAAATACTAAGGCTTGATGTTTTATTTCCTTAGCTATTAACATAGTACATGACTTGAGTTATGATTACACCTTTTGATGACAGTAAGTCATGTTTGTTTGGGTGGATATGAGCTTAAGATTGGACTAATAGTTCAAAAAAATTATTAATCCGATATTTGGTTAAACAATTGAAGTACGGACTAATTATTTTAAACTTGACTATTAGTTAAGATAGGATACATAATCCAACGGATTCGTAGTCCTAGGACTATTAGTCATGGGAATGCTAATCCAGTCTACCCAAACAAACATGGCCCTAAGTGTCTTTTCATAGAAAAATAAATTTATATATTACAGTATATATTTAATATATATTATATGTAAATATATTCAGTTGGTTTTGGTGTAGAGTATATCAAAATTGGTATCAAATCAAAAATAAAAAAAATTAATTTTCAAAATTGAACAGACCAATTCATATTAAAAAACTGATGAAATACGACCGGCTCAATCAATTTAATCGATTTTTTCAATTTCTCTTCCACTCCTAATAAGAACCGCTCATAATTTTTTTTTCATAAACTTCCTCACCTGAAGCCTATGCTTGATAGAGGATATAGAAATATTTTTATTTTTCTTTTTAGACAACCTTACCTCTCCATATATAGAAATTTGAATGATATTCGAGTGAGAATGCCGCAGAAACGTACCAGTCAAATGATATTTCTCATTCTCAAAGAGCGTCTTTGGAGGAGACGAAGAAGCAGCAACATCTATTATTGGGTTGCCGCTTGGTGGAATTAGGATCCGAATTAATTCAGTCCAAAATTCACAAATATCAGTCCAAAGAGATGAGCATTATCATCTTTTTTTGTATTCTGGGTATGCTATAACTATCTTTTGTAGTGGTGGTGATTTGGGTGGATTGATGATGTCGATTCAGGGAAAGTAAATTTAATTTATAAATTTTAATTGTTGTTATTGTACTTTTAATATGTATTTTTTTTTGGCTAATGTTTGATTTAAAAATGATCCTAAAATTTTACTTTGGTAGCGTGTTCTTGTTATTGTTGTTATTCTTCTTTTAAATGTTATTATGAAACAAAATAAAATATTATTATTCACTCAATTTTCACGGTATTTTTTTTTTTAAAAGAATTTCATAGTTAACCTGAATCTTATTTGTTAGATCTTGATAAGATGATTCTAAAAATATTAATCTTATTTGACGTAGGTAGACCCATAAAGGCCATAACCCACTATGAACAACCCAAGTCTACCACTTAGGGTCCAATACATAACCCAACTGATAAGGCCCAGCACAGCTGGAAAGTCAACATGACATGAAGGACCAATGATATTCAGACACGTGGCAGGTAAAAGGCAAGCCACTTCAGCAGACAAAGATCTGTAAAGTTATTGCCACTGCACATCACCATTAATGCAGCCCCTCACAGCATTTATTACGACAACACCTCTCCGTCGGGACAGCACGCCCTCACCCTGAATAAGGTAAGCTACAACATAGACTTTTGGCCAAGGTGACAGGTCAGACGGGACAATGAAATGATTACCAAAGGATATAAGCAGACGTTGAAGACAAGAAAATGGTTAAGTTCTCTATTTCTAATTCATATCTCTACATTTCACTTCCCTCTCTCTAACTTGCTCGTCGGAGGGTTCGCTGGGGGACATCCCGTTCCCTGTTGAACTCTTGTGCAGGTTCTCAGGTGGGCTTGACCACTCGGATATTGGCTCGAGAAGTGTGGATCAGTCCGATCCGTTCTATCAGGAACCTGTTGTATCATAACTGTATCATAAGTTGGCGCCGTCTGTGGGAACCGCTTTGCTCCGCGCGCGCCAGTTGTGCTCATTGTCGCCGGGGACCCTGTTTCAATAACCTTTTCCTGCTACCCATCAACGTGTATGGTCACGACTAGATCCATGGCTTCTCACCAAAATGCCACCGACCATCAAGCCGACCCCCCTAATCCAAACAACCCATCACAGTATTTCATCAAGCTTACCAACAGCATCAACCGCATGGCTGAGCAAAACCAAGCCTTGATAAATGCTTTACTCTAAAGGGACCTTCCTATGCCTCTTCCACCACCTCCAGATATTCTGCCCAACCAAGAACGAGCCCCGAGCCATACTATCTCGCAGCCCTATCCACCCAACTTGGAAGGCCTGCAACCTCCTCCTCCTCATATAAATCCACCACCTCGACCCTCGCATCCATCGGTCCTGTCACCAACCCCCGAAGGGGAAGCCAGTAGCGTCCAACCCCCGCTCCCTTCCGGTGGTGATAACATCCCTCTCTGGGATGCAGAACTCCGAGCCATAAAGCTCCAACTCCAAGGGGTCATGCAGAACATCCAGCATAAACCCTCTACCATAGCAAACTCACAATTTGTTGCCTCCATCCGAGACAAACCCCTACCCCCCAAGTTCAAAATGCCCACCATCGACTCTTTTGACGGCACGACGGACCCAGTCGACCATCTAAAGACCTACAGAACCCTCACGATCCTCCATGCATTCCCTAACGAGATCATGTATCGAGCTTTCCCCGTGACACTAAAAGGGTTAGCTCGGTTGTGGTTTAGCCAATTACCAACAGACTCCGTTTCCATTTTCCAGCATCTCAGTGACTCATTTCTCAGTCATTTCATTGGAGCCCAGCGCTAGCACCGTCCGGCAACCTAGCTCCTCAACATCCGCTAAACCGAGGGAGAGTCCCTGCGTAGTTTCGTTACTCGCTTCAACACCGAAGCCTTACAGGTGGCGGAAAACGATGATACGGCTTTCATGGCTAGTCTGCGGTCATCCGACTTCCTATTCTCCCTCTCTAAAAACCCCTCGATCTCTATGGCAGCCCTACTCTCCAAAGCCCAAAAATACATGAATGCAGAGGATTCTCTAGTCGTCCGGCAAGATCTAATGACCAAAAACCCGACCCCCAGAGAAAAAAAGAAAAGACTCAGAACCCAGAAACACCCAGTATAATAGCCAAACACCGCACTATACCGACCGACCCCCCCGAGCTGACCAGTCGGCACCAGTCCGACTGCCCGGTCGGTTCGAGCAGCACACACCCCTTAATTCCCCCATGGAACAAGTTCTCAATCAGATCCAGCGGGACTACCCCCTCAAATGGCCCCAACCTTCACGAACCCCTTCCAATCGGAAAGACCAATCCAAATATTACCGTTTTCACCAGGACCATGGCCATAACACCGATGAGTGCGTTAACCTCAAAGATCAGGTCAAGACCCTAATACGTCAGGGACGTCTTAACCGGTTCACGGATACCCGCCCTTAGCAGAGGCAAAGAACTAAGCCCCCCAGAAACAACCGCCGGCGCAGCCCCCCCGACAACCAGCCCAACCTAACCAAGGCCATGATCGCCCTCCACAGTAACCTCGGCCGCTAGGCAATCCCCCTCCACCTGTTGGAGAAATCAGAGTCATTTCAGGTGACCTTGCTTGTGGGGGACCGTCCCGCTCGGCTCAGAGGGCAGAACTCAGAAAGATAAGGCAGGGCTCAAACAAAACAGTTGCCACGGTCGACCGACCCTCCAAACAGCCCAAGCAGTGGACCGAGCCTATCACTTTCACGGACGCCGACTGTACAGGCATCCGTTACCCTCATGATGACCTTCTTATCATTTC